CGGAAGAACTGTCTTGTGGGGTCAGCGTTGCAGCAGTGCTTCACCCCATTTTGTTTTTCTCTGCGTGTGTGTGTGTGTGTGTGCGTTCGCCCCGCGGCGTAAGAAAAAAAAAGAAGGCGTAAAGAAGACGAAGTGCGCTGGAGGTTTCTTCACTGCCGGTTTTTTTTTTTTATTATTGGTTCTGTGCTCCGTGGCGCAGACGCCACTCACGCACCCCGCACCGGCGGAAGTGCACGGCGAGGGGGGACGCAGGAGAGCAGACGGCTGAGGCTCCACACAAAGACGAGAAGAAAAGAACTGCAGAACAACAAAAAAAGAGATGATGGGATTACCTGTACTTTCATGCTTTTATCTTCGCACATATGCGCACCTGTCTGCTTCCTCGTTGTTGTTGTTTTTTTTCACCCTTTTTTTTCATTTGTTTGCCGCTGATGTTTAAAGGCGGCACTCTGCTGTGCTCGCCGCGCCTACTCTCGCCGCCGCTGAAGAGCGCGGCGGCTGGCTTCCCGCCACCAACACTGCTGCCGCTACTTGTGGCTGCTGTCAGCAATACCAGCAGCAACAAGGAGTGGCAGCGAAGATATATTGTTTCTGGAGGAGACGCAGCCTGATACAAACTCCCTCGTGACACTGAGCCACCTAAAGACAAAAAAACAAAAACAAAAAAAAGTGATTTTTTTTTGTTTATTTGTTGTTGGGGCTGCACCCACACCAATGAGGGAGGGATGAAGAGAGAGCGAGGAAGACATAGAAAGAGATGTGGGACTAAAGGTCTAACACATTGAAAAGAAGGGGGAAAAAAAAGAAACGAGGGGAGTGAGTGCAGGAATTGGCTCTGTATCCCCTTGGCCCAGGCAATGTTTTTGAAGTTGGCATCGTTGTGGGATCCACCTGTATTGCATTAATGACTGCACCGCTCGCGTCTCTGCGTCTCGGCATTTGGACTCCTCCTCTCACTCTCTTTCTTTTGTTGTTGTTTCTCCCTGCAGTTTGTAGAAAATATGTGGCGCTGCATTGCCTGAGGCTTTGACCATTGCACTGCCGTTCTGTGTTGGCGGTGGCCGACGTGGCCTTTTGGAAGTGGCACCCGCTGGAGTGTGTCGATGCCTCTGCGGCAGCACCAGGAGGAGGAGAAGGAGGAGGAGGAATGCGGGTGTTGAAGACGACGTCCCCCCTCATAGTTGTTGTGTGTTTCTGCGCAGCAGTGTTCTCCAGCGGCAACCCGTCTGACGTCTTGGTGGTTCACAACCTAGTGCCTGTGTGTATATGCATTTCCCTTCTGCCTGCTTGTCCCCTCTCTCCCTTGTCTCTCTCACAAGCTTTGTGCCGGGGGGCCGCTGTGCAAATACAGTGGGCCGCAGCGCCACCCCGCTGTTGCCGCGCAGCCGATGACGGACCCTCTGCGCGTGACGGTGGAGTGCTGGGAGAACCAGCGGTACCACCCGACGAAGGGGTGGGGCCTCTACCGCCTGCCAGTCGACCGCTGCGCGTGGTCGAGCAAGAAGGGTGACGTCGTGCTGTGCCGCGACAGCTTCCTCACGCCTATCGGCTGGGTGTGGACCTCCGATTGGGAGGTGGCGCCGAACGGGACGCAGCCGGATGGCTGGCTGTACGCGGCGGACTTTACTGTTCCGACGCGCTTCTGCACGGCAACACCGAACTCGTTCAGTTACGTGCGGCGGAGGAGGTGGGTGCGCACGCGTGTGCAGCTCACACCGGACACGACTGGTGGCACTGCGCTGGTCGACGCATTATCGTCCTCCGCTAGTTTTCAGGCAGACCCACGCGTGGTGTGGTTAAGCACATGCTTCTATGGCTTCTCAGGCGCCACTGTGGAGGAGCAGCGGGAAGACCAGCGCCGACAACACATCTGCTGCTACAAGTTGCACCGCTGCCTGGACGTTTCCTGCAATATCATGAACCTGGACGTCGATGAACATGAGGAGGAAGCGGGAAACGGTTTGAGCGGATCCTCCTCCTGCCATCGACATCCTTCCATAACACCGGCTGTGCGACACTGCGTCTACCGCTACGGCCTCCCGCAGTGTCTGCGGCCAGCGTTGTGGCTGGAGTGGTCAGGGGCCTCACAACTGCTACGTGATTCGCCGAGAACGTATGACGAGCTCCTCGAGCGCGCTGATCGTGTGCGGGGGCAGCCGCTGCAGGACATCATGCAGGATGTTGTGCGAACGGCGCCTCGTCACCCATTTTTCTCTAAAAAGGGAGGTGGCGCGGAAGAACTTCGAGGTGTGCTTCTCGCATTGGAGCTTGCAGCGGTTCTTCCGTCTTATCATCAGGCGTTTAGTTACATCGTGGCCTCCGTGTTACTCAACCTTCCTGCACGAGAGGCCTTTTGGGTAGTGACGGCCGTTTTTTGCGCGTTTGTGCCCGACGGCTACCACGCCGAGTACCGCTTGCAGAATGACCTCACGATCTTCCACGAGATCCTCGCGCAGAAGTTCCCCGACGTCAACGAGCATTTTGTGTCGAAGCGAATTGATGTGTCTGTGTTTGCCAGCGGCTGGCTGCAGGCGCTCTTCTGTGCCCACTTTCCTTTCTCCACTGCTGCCCGTATTTTGGATATCCTCTTCGTTGATGGTGATAGCAGTGTGCTGGTGCGCTTTCTCATCGCGTTCATTGGAAAGTTCCGCACCGCGATGCTGACGATGGACAGCAGCGGCTCGCTGGGCCACTTCGCCAACGAGTGGGCACACAACTGCTTTTGCGTGGACGATGTGGTGCACGCCATGGAGAAGGATGGGCTCGCCCCGGTTGTTCTCGCCCTCCGTGCGAAACTTGGCGGCTAAACAAACAAACAAAAAAAAAAGAGGACATGTGGACGCACCTGTGGTGTGCTTCTATGTGTGTGTGTGTTTTTATTTATATCTGCAACAAAGCAAACAAACAAGAAAGCAACGGATGCGGTGCCGCAACGACGGAGGTGGTGGGATTGTTGGACAACTCGCCGTTCACTTGACGTGTTGACGGTGCCCTATACCGCTTCAAAGTTCTTGCAGTGATGCAGAGGGGCAGAGAAGGAGAGAGAGGGAGTGAGTGAGTGTGTGTAGGTGTTTGTATGTTTGAAGTGGCGAGTTGAGGAGGACTTCTTGTTCCTTTTGTTGTTTTTGTTGTTGTTTGAGACGCAAATCTTGTATTGTACGTCTTTGCACTGCTTTGTGGCGCCTTCTCTCCTATTTCCCTGGCGGTCTTGTTGGTTCTCTCGCCCCCGGTGAGGCTGGCTTGTCGGCTGCCGCACCTTAAACCACAAAAAAACACACACAATGTGGACGTCGGCGCTAAAGACACATCAGCACTTGCGCACCATCTGCCGTTTGAATGGTTTGGTGAGCGTTGGTACGCCTCTCGCCGCACAGCCCACAAACAGTGGGGCGTGCGTGGAAGCCCAGTGCTGCGTGGTGACAGACGAAGACGATGGTGCTTCTTATGATGAGGCACCTGATGCGTCGCCGCATCCCAATGCGGGGCCTGTGGGTGGTGTGGGTGTGGCGTTGAAGCGTCAGCGTGCCAGTGAGATGAGTACAGATAGCGGGGACGCGCCACTCTTTCGTCACGCCATCTCTGCGTGCAGTGAAGTGGCAGCGAAACGGTTGTGTGCGGGAAATGAAGCAGAGCCTGGCCCACCGCCACTGGAGGTTGTTGAGCCCGATATAATCATAGTGGAGGAGGAGGAAGAAGAAGACGGCGACGACAACGACATTGATAATGACATCGTGAAGGATATCACGAGAACGCTGGGTGACGAGGCATCACCAATCGCCAGCGCACCGCTTCTGGCAAGTGAGACGTCTGCGCCCGAGCACATCCGATTCAGCGAATCCCTGCCACAAGAGGTGGTCGGCCTATCAGCGGAGCAGCAGACTGTCTTTGACCTTGTAGTGAGGCGTGGCCGCTCTGTGTTCCTCACGGGTGGCGCCGGCACGGGCAAATCGCATCTGCTTCGAGCCATCATCGAAGCACTGCCAAGGCAGACAACATTCGTGACGGCTACGACGGGAATAGCGGCATTGAATCTTGGCGGCAGGACGCTCCACAGCTTTGCTGGCTGCGGCATTGTGGATCGTCACCGTCATACACCCCAGGATGTGTTCAATACGGTTCGGGGCAAAAAGACCGCCAAGAAGAATTGGCGAACCTGCAGGGTACTGGTGGTAGATGAAGTTTCTATGATGGATGGGTGGTTTCTGAGTGTGCTGGAGTATGTTGCACGAATGATTCGGGGTAGTTTCGCTCCATTTGGCGGCATCCAGGTCGTGTTCGCCGGCGACTTTTTGCAGCTCCCACCGGTATCGAAGGCGAACCGGCAAGGTGGCCGCCAGGAGGCGACCCTCGCCTTCGAGGCAGCTGCGTGGCGCCGCATCAATCCGCGCGTGTGCGTCCTGTCGCAGCGTTTTCGACAGAAGGATGAAGTCTTCTTTGGGATACTGAACGAAATGCGCAGTGGTGCGCTGACGGCTACATCCATTGCGATGCTGACTTCGCTCTCCAGTGCAACAACCGTAGCCCTTCTAAGGGATGACGAAGTGACCCATGGAAATGATGACAAAACAGTCGCACTAGAGGGTGTGGAAGCGTTGAGCAGTGATATCGTGGTGGACAGTCGAGGTCGCACGAAGCAGGAGCGGTACGAGGGCTTCACTATTCTTCGGGCGCTCCACAAGGAGGTGGAGGCGGTGAATATTGAGTGCTTTAACAAGTTGACGACGGAGATTGTGTCGTACAAAGGCTATCACACCGGTGAGGGGAGGTTTCCAGCAGAATTGCCCGCTGTTGTTTCGGTGCGTGCTGGTTGTAGGGTGATGCTGCTCAAAAACCTGGACGTTTCGCAGGGTCTTGTGAATGGAAGTGTTGGCACCCTCGTGAGGTTCGTTGACGTACGGAAGGTAAACGACTTGGCGCATAATACGACCCTGTACGATCTCACCTGCTTGGGGGCTCACAGGCTCCTGCCTGTCGTGCGTTTCGACATGTATGGCCGTGGCGTGAGCAACGGTGCAACTTCCCGTCTTGTGATAATTGAGCCGCATAGGTGGACTGTGAACCAGGGGGACAGGGAAATAAGCTGCAGCGTTCAGATACCACTGCAACTTGCATACGCCATCACAATACATAAATCACAGGGTATGTCGCTTTCGCATGTCAACGTGGACTTCAATGGCATCTTTGAAGATGGCCAGGCGTATGTGGCGCTCTCACGCTGTACAGACATGGATAACCTTGTCATTGAGAATTTTGACGCGTCCTGCGTTAATCCGAATCCCAAGGCATTGGCATACTATAAAGCATTGGAGGAGGGAGTAGCAGCCGTAGCAAAGGAGGAGGACGAAGCCCTGCGGAACTCAAACACCAACCTCTACCCGTGGGGATTGCACGATCCGCTTGAAGGCAGCAATGATGATGATAGCGACGGTGAAAAGGTCGTGAATAATGGGGCGTCTGTTGTGGAAGGTATTCGTCTACGCATCATGGAATCGTGTGAGCAATGGCTCGAGATGAAGAAGGATGTTGTATCTGCTGCAGAGCGTGCAACATCCGTTCACGGGGCGCTGTTGGTGATGGACATAACTTCACTGCTTGTCCTTGGGGGATCCGCCGACTCCACCGCGCTGTACGGGACGGTATTCCTTAAGCACCAGAACATGATGCGAGTGCCACGGGTGGTGAAGGAGGAACTTCTGCGCACTGCCTCACCCGGTGAGGTGGAAGTGCGGTCCACACCAACGGTGCGCCTCAGTTTCGGCAGCGCACACACAAATTCACCAGTCGCTGCGGCTGGCAACCTCCACGACGCAGCGGAGGTTGCGGCTGCCACGCTGTGTGTAATGGAAGACGCAAAGAGAGACTTCGTACTGGATGAGCAGCGCAGTGGGGAGTCCCGCCCGCTCCCGCCAGCCCTGCCACAAAAGAAAAAGAAGTTGTACACGCATCTTCTTTCTAAACCGGCTGTCGATCCGACAGGAGACTTCGCAAATCAATATGAAAGTGGCACAAGTGTCGAGGCATTGCATCTTTCCTTGCTAGAGTTCGCCTCCTACCTGCTTGAACAGTATAGTGCGCATCGGGCAGTGGTAGTGTGCACGGAGTCCATTGAGTTGGCGGCGCGTTCAATGGCCGTCGGCGTGCGAGTGTGCTCCATGGCGTACCTTTGCCATTCTGGGCGGCACTGATTGATTGATTGATGTTAACAGTGCTGGTGAGTCCGTTGTCTGGTTTTCTAATGTGTAATTGCCGCGCCACGTCAATGGACTGTATGCTAGTCATAGTGACCCACTCCGTTTGCCTGCGCTTTATTCCTTTTTTTTTTCGGTTTGTTTGGTGTTCGTCCCTTGGGCGTGACACTGCTCCACTGGCGGGGGTGCTCAAGAATCAAGGGCGGCAGGCTATTCATATCTCAATCCATCTCGACGAGTGACGCGTTGCTTTTCACATCATGGCGGAAAAACTGCGTGCGGCACATTTGCTCATCAAGTTCAGTGGCAGCCGGAACCCGGTCTCACGCAGAACCGGCCAGAGCACCGCTGGCGTCACGTATGAGGCTGCCCTCGCCGAGCTGCAAGAATGGGCAAAGAAGATATCTGACGGCCAAATCACCTTTGAGGAGGCCGCAAGCCAGCGCAGCGACTGCGGCAGCTGCAGGAGCGGTGGCGACCTCGGTCCCTTCGGTCCTGGAGAAATGATGAAGCCATTCGAGGACGCCGTGCGGGCACTGCAGGTGGGCCAAATAAGCGGCGTTGTGCAGACGGACAGCGGTCTGCACATCATCAAGAGGCTGGCATAAGTGAGTCGTGATAAACCACCATTATAGACGAATGTCGTATATTTCTGTGTCCTTGTTTTTGGTGGGGGGGCGCAATGCTGAAATGCTTCATGATGGTAGGCGTTCTTCTCGCAAAGCGAGATGTGTTGATGTCTCTACACCACTTGTGTGAACTTGTGTGTCCTAGATGTGCAGAAGCCACGCCTGTCCACTCTTCTTTGTTACTCTTGGTAGAAACAGTGGCGCTGCTCCACGCGTGTCAGTCGCAGAGAAGGAGTGCGAAGAAAGGAAGACAAACACACTGAAAGATTGTTTGCCCACGGCCAAGTGGAGGAAGCAAAGGAAGGAACATATTAGCTTAGAAAACAGAATGCCCATGATGCCGCAGAGGGGGGCTGTCGACGACGAGATTGCCGCTATTCGCCGCGAGTTGGTCAGTCTCAAAGAGCAGATGGAAACCGGGTCATTGACCTCATCTGTTGCTTCACTTGATAATGGGGACGGGCAGGCGGTGGACGAGGACGATGATGATGTTGATGACAATACGACGGTACTGCAGCGTTCCCTTGAGCAGCTGGTGACGCGGCTGACGCAGGAGCGAGAGAGGCGGCTGCGGCTGGAAAATGAGGTGCACGCCTTGCGGGTGAGCAGCACACGCAGCACTGCTGAAGCATCGCAAGCACTGCAGGTGAAGCAGCAGGAACTCAAGCGGCTCACACAGGAGCGGAGGGAGCTTCAGGAGTGGCTGCAACGCGGTGTGAATGAGTGCCGCCGTGTAGCGGATGAGGCGTTGCGGTTGAAGGAGGAGCTAAACGAGCGTACTCAGCGCTGCGATGCTCTAGAGGCGACCAAAGCGGAGCTGCAAAATAAGGTCGATGCAGTGCAACAGCAGCTGGCTGACACGCAGTTGCAGTTGGAGCGGGCGCGAGACCGGGACCAGCTGCTGGACGCCCGCCTCAAGGAGAACGCCCTCACCCCACAGGAGTTGGAGGAGATACGACAGAAACGTCTAAAGGACTACGAGGCACTTACGGCGGAGGTGGAGTCCCGCCGTCATCGCATCGACACCCTCAAGGACGCCGAAATGTGCGTGCAACTTCTCACGGAGCGGTTACAGCTGCTGCAGTTGCACGTAGCGCGGCTGAGCCAGGCGGTGCGTAAGGGCTGCGTCCAAGAGGTGTCGCCTAATGACTTGTTCCAGCGTGAGAACGTTGCGGAGCCCTCACGACCGCTGGAGGAACTTGTCGTGCGGGTAAAGGGCGTGTTGCAAAGCCTCTCAAGTGCGCTGCAGCAGCTGCAGGTGGATGTGGCCAAGTTCGTGGCGGAGCAGCGCTGCCTCCACGAGGAACAAGCGGCGACGCACCGCGAGCAGCTCGAGGCCACGCACATGGAGAAGCAGACGGCGCTGCACATGTACGAGACAGAGCGCGAGGAGTTGCTGGGCACCATCGCCCAACTCAGGGCGGAGACGCTGCGACTCCTCACAAGGTGTGCTGCGTATGATGCCGAGGAGGCAGACCGCCAGGAGGCCCGCATCGGCGAGGTGGAGGCATTGATGGCGTCGAATAAGCAGCTGGCCATCGAGAACGACGAGCTGCGCGAGCAAAACGTGGCTCTGCGGGCGAAGCTGAAGCGGCTGAAGATAAACTGGAGAAAAGTTCACGACAGCCAGCTGCGCTTTCAGGGGCTGCAGGCGGAGGTGGAGATGATCGCGCAGACCAACGAAAAGGTACAGAAGGAGAATGAGAATCTAAAGCTCCTCATTGAGACACGCTTCGGCACGTCGCCTCCACAACATGAGCAGCAGTCTTTCAACAAGAAGACAACAACTGCAGGCTCGCTAGCGCGCCCCAGCGTTTCGACCATCCTGGCCGATGGCAACAGTAGACGGCGTGACACGAGCCGAGGCCAATCTGTGGTTCGTCGAGACCCGTCACGCCGCAGCAACGAGCGGGAGTTATTCCGAGAGTGGAAACGAACCGTTATAAGTGATTATCTTGAATAGTGACTTTTTAACGACCTGAGTTTATCGAAAAGGTACGCGTTGTATTTGCTGTACTCTTTGTGTTTTAGTTTATATTTGTGTTGGCTATCATCACGCAACGATTGGCTCGGTCTCATTCACCTAGGGAGAGACACGATACGATGCGGTTGCACTGATACTATGGGGGGATTTTGCGCGCTCCTTGGTGATGTCGCCATGGTGCTGCATGGGGCCCACGCAGGTACTTGCATGCATATAATGTGCCGTTCTTTTTTTTTGTCTCTTCTTCCCGCTGTCTTTTCACTTAGAGGTGTGAAGCGGGAAGGGCGAATCACACGGTGGCACTTTTTCGTGGGTGCGGTGTTGGAGTGCTGCGCCCGTATGTTCTTCTCGACGTTGAAGCGTATGCCGATTCGACCGCTGAATCGTGTGACACTCTTGGGCGCGCTGCATGACGTGCAGACGGGCTTTCTCGACCAATCTAGCGTCTTTCAGTTTGTGCTGACTTGCTCTTTTCTTGACCTGCAGGCGGCTACTGACGCGAAGAAGCCAGCAGCAGTGAACCCTAGCGTTTCGGTAGCGCTGGGGGTGGCTGCAGGAGAGCAGCAGAAGCAGCAGGCGGCGAAGGAACAGTACACTGTCCGCTGCCTGGGTGACGAGGCGTACACAGATGCCCTGAGGGGCGCGCTTGAGGAGGGTTGCATTGTGCAGGTTGTTGGACGCCTAAAGACCATCGAGACGATGGACGGCAGCAAGAAACAATTGTTTCCTTTCATCATCGTCGAGCAGGGGCGGTGGAGCAACGTCTCGCTGATCCACTCCCCGCGAAAGCAGCGGCGTGATTGGCAGCTCCAAAGCGCATTAGCTGTGGCAACCCCACCGAGGTAGTTGGGGGTGGGGGGGCATCTTACACACAGACATATATATATATATATATATATATA